AAAGTGGAAGATGAATCTGAAGAATCAAGACTGAGTCTGTGAGTTTTGTCTGCCCTTCCCTGGGAAGATTTTCTGTCTACTGACAATCTTGAAAAATAAGGTTTTTTTTTTTTTAAAGGGGAAGAATGAGTTTTTCTCTATAAGAGGTATGGCTGAAAATGATCCCCCAGTTAGTTTATTACTGATGTTAATTATCTAAATTTTAACAGTATGGATTACTGACTGATTCAGTAAAAATTGATTGGAGTACAATTTTAAATTGGGTGATGTCATTCTTTGTAGGAATCCAATAGTACATGAAAAATATAACATACTAAGCCTGTGACTAGTGTCCCTTCCTCTTTCACAGATGTGTGAGACTTTTCTTGTTCACATTTCTCGGGTGGTTCTTGCTCCTGGAGAGAGAAGAGGGTCAAATAGGCAATGTTTCCAAAATAGCAAAGTCTTGGATCAAACTGCTTAAAGGTAATTAAATATTACTTTAAGTTACTAAGAAATAGGGAGAATTAAATACATATTTATCTTTTAACAAGGGAAGTACATTGAAACAAGAAGAAACGAAAACTCTCAAATACGTGTAAACAAATATCAAAGACCAAGGAATTGGTAAAAATCTTTTGTTTTTGGAATGTGTGTGCCATTGTTTTATTTTAAAAACAAACCAACATCTTATACTAGAAGTTGATAAGCTGTACTGAATCCTGAACAAAGTATGAAAAAGAGGTTCCAATAGTTTCTTTCTTTTTTTTTTAAAAGATGACCGGTAAGGGGATCTTAACCCTTGACTTGGTGTTGTCAGCACCACGCTCAGCCAGTGAGCGAACCGGCCATCCCTATGTGGGATCCGAACCTGGGGCCTTGGTGTTATCAGCACCGCACTCTACCAAGTGAGCCATGGGCGAGCCCTTCCAATAGTTTCTAAAATAGAAAGTAAAATAAATGCCATTGTGTTTCACAGTGTTAAAGTCAAGTTTACTTTTCAGTGAGTTTCATGGATTAAAAACTAAGTCAAAGAAGCAAGTTTTGCTGTGAGGAGTGATTTAAATATAAAAAGAATAACCAGCTCTATTTTGACATGGCTATTGAAGTCTCCCTCTAATTTATAGGCATTGTTAATTCATCACCCCTGAGAAGAGCTTCTTTAATCTGTAAACAGAAATTTAAGGACATATAAGATAATCAAATAAAGCCTTTAGAATTCAAAAGAAAAGAAAAAGAAACACCCTAAATTGCTATGTGACACAAGGCTTTAAATTTTTCAACATTATTCCTTTGATTTAAATAAAACATGAATACAAATATGACATGAGCACAGAGAATCTAGTAAAATGGAAATAAACTGAACACCCCCATATCTGCAGGCAC